GTAGTTGAAACCACACTGCAACAGAAATTTCATGAATGAATCTCAGAGAAACACTCCTGCAACCTAACAGGGAAAGCACTGATTTTTAACTTGTGCACAATCAACAATCAATATAGCTCATGCGCTCCAAAATTTATACAAAACAGCACATCAACACTAGCTCCACTAAACTTAAATCTAGAGAAAAGCTAAGAGCTAACATGACTGCCTCCACTTAATCTTCCTAAACAATGTGGCCTCCCCAAAACAATACACAGCAAACTCAGAACATCAAATCACCACAAATAACCAAACTCATCAGCAACTAACTCAACAATTGCCCGGGGCGATCGTGGCTCAAGAGTTGGCAGTTCGCCTTGTAATCGGAAGGTTGCCGGTTCAAGCCCCGGCTTGGACAGTCTCGGTCGTTGTGTCCTTGGGCAAGACGCTTCACCCGTTGCTTACTGGTGGTGGTCAGAGGGCCCGGTGGCGCCAGTGTCCGGCAGCCTCGCCTCTGTCAGTGCGCCCCAGGGTGGCTGTGGCTACAATGTAGCTGCCATCACCAGTGTGTGAATGTGTGGATATGTAAAGCGCTTTGGGGTCCTTAGGGACTAGTAAAGCGCTATATAAATACAGGCCATTTACCATTTACAAGGCAAAACACAACTAGATAAAGACATCTAAACAGATGAACTCAAACAGGACTAGCTGCAAACAGACCAGCTCACAATCAAACTTTAGAAAGCTCACCAACCAAGAGAACTGCGCAGACGAGCCCCCATTTGTCACAACCCGGCTCAAGGACGTGACAAACAAGTGGGAGATCACACACAGGCTTTTATAGGGTGTAAGATATGTTTAATGGAAATGAGATAAAGCAACTTAGGCGTGCTGCATCTATAATTGGGTCAGCTCCACCTACCTGCAAGAAACAGGTAACAGAAAACAAAACACAAGGGCCACAGATGCCAACAGACTCCATACACTCATCCACAAGGCCAGTAATGTTGTGAGGATGGAGCTGGACTCCGTTAGGGTGGTGTCTGAGAGGCAGATGTTGTCCAAGATAAAGACAATCATGGATAATACCCAGTGGCGGTCCTAGCCTCTTTGGCGCCCTGGGCGAACACTCCCGCTGCCCCCCCCCACACACACACACACACACACACACAGACAAAACATATTAAGGATTGTACATTAACATAAAGCTGTTGTACACACACACATATGAAAAGAGAGAGTATGCGTAGTATACAAACAGCCATCATAATTCATCACACAATGAGAACAGGACGAATCAACAACTGACAATTAATATTAAAACCTGTAACATGTTGTTTGGAGTTTAGTCTGTTACTGTTGCTATTTTTACCATTTCTTCTTGGAGCGACTGTAACACATCATTTCCTCAGGGATTAATAAAGTATTCTGATTGGATCAGGATGACCTGCCATTATCCAATCACACATCTGCTTACCTGCATCTGTCGCTAGTTTCTCCTCTTTTCTCTTTTTTCTAAACTGAGCACCTGATGGCTTTGAACTTTTCTTGTCTATCTTACATTGGTTTTAATTTTGCACATGGCTGTAGCTCAGGTGGCAGAGCAGGTCAGCCACAAATCAGAAGGTCGGTGGTTCGATATGTTCAAGAGGGCCCGGTGGCGCCAGTGTCCGGCAGCCTCGCCTCTGTCAGTGCGCCCCAGGG